CTGTAATTCTGAGTGTTTTATGTGCTGCAGAACAGGAACCTGCTGTAAAACAGCAATTATGCTGAGTCAGGCTTGATTTTTAATAATATTTTCCTGTTAAATAAATAAATCAAATCAAATCAAACAGTGGCTGTTTTGTTGTTTTACAAAACAGCCACTGTTCAAAAGAATGAGCCAGCGCAGACGAGCTACATACACATGACACGACACCTAAGAACCAGAGCATCCAAACCAATAAGTCAGGTGATGGGGTACATGACCCTCTATGAAAAATAGAGCTAATCAAGCCTATTGTTAAGCGATGGCCCTTTTTTTTTGCATGTGACTAACCTGTTTGTCCACCATGTGGAGGCTGTGCTTATAAGGCTGAGTTCACCTGAAACTCATCAGACTGAAGAAGTCTCTTGGAGGAGAGATGAAACATTTCACTAAAGAAGAACCCATCCAGAGGACCTACTTATTTTTTCTTTTTGATTTTTTCTTCCTGGATTACTGAGATGCATCAGGACACTTTGAATCTTGGATTTATTAACTGATTTCTCTAATCGGCTTTCTCCATAAATAGCCGAATTTTCAGTAAACTGTTGTCAATGTTCTGCAGCTCGGTATTTGTACCTGCACACCGGAGGCTGGCGTTGGGGCAGAGGGCAGGGAGGCTGTGGTTAAATTCGTTAGCTCTGGGTCAGAGGTGCTGCAGCTTGGGGTGTGTGTGCTCCTCCAGTAGGCCTCCAGGTAATCAGCCATGTGCTCGCATGCATCCTCCAGCTGGTTCTCATCTAGGATGATATCAAACATCTCCTGGGAGAAGTGAGACAGTCCCAGTTTAAGGAAATGAAGCAGACACATGACGAGGTCAAGAAAAAACAGGCAGTGATGTTAGGAAATTTCAAAATAGGAGAGTTTTTCTTGATCTTATTTGGGAAATCTCTAAAAGCACYTTTAACTGTAAAGAACTCATTCTGATCTTCATGAAGACAAAATGTCAGAACAATGTTAAACAAACATCCCACTGAATTAAATACCACGACCATAATGATTAATTCTCAGGAAATCTAAAAACTAATTTCCCTGAAGATATCCACTGCTATTTGAATTAAATTAAGCCTGCACTGTCACAAGCTGGGGGTGCGTGCTTCATGTTCTAAAATAATAACTAAGCAGATTACTGAGGATTGGAAATAGAACTGGCAACAATTATGATGCTTTCAGTGAAAAAAAAAAAACAGATAGGCGAGCAAACAGCCAAAAASAGCAAAACTAAAAGCTGAAATAAAAGACAGGTCCAATCAACAGTAATTTGGTTCACTGCGGACTCACAGAGGGACACTGAGCCAACTTGTCTGCAGCCACCATCTGGACATTGAGGTGTTTGGCCTGAGATTTGCCTCTGGACTTGATGAGCCTTTGGAGCACCTAAAAGCAAATGAAGACAAAGGACAACAGGACTGTTTCTGGTTGAATTAAATCCAAACAAAACGCAGTGTGGACAATGTCAGAGTCTGGTCATGTTAATCCTAAAATGAATAAAATGATCAAATATATTTAGTCATGTATGACGCAAATACTGGTCTTTAAMCATGTTAAAGCTGTCGACTATCAATGACCGCCACTAAGTTCAGACAGAAACAACATAAGACAGGAAACAAAAGGAAAATCTGCTACTTTTATAGTTTGATGCATGATGGGAAAAATGTCTACAATTATCTCGTTATAAAAATGTAAATAGTGACAATGGAGAAAACCAGCTTTAGGAAAATTAAAAGAGGAATTTAGTGGCAGAAAAATTATACTTTTGATATTTCTGGTACATTTAACAGATAAAACTTTTCCACATTTTTACTTTAAACCTCTGTTTTTTTTTCTTCCCCCACTGCTCGCACAATGTCAATAAAATCTACCAAAATACTGTGATTATCCCTTTGGGTTTATAGAAAGTGGCAGCAGGGTGCAGTTGAGAGGACAGATGATAAAAAGTAATTTATTAGATCCTGCTGTGACAGTAATTCACTTTGCTGCCTTTTGGATTTAAAGCCTGCATTTTATGTCTCTTTAGCGATTCCTTCTTTTATTTTTGCGTGTTACTCAAACAACCGTTCCTATTGAGCCTTTTTACACTCGCTGAAGGTCAGATTGATGATTCAGTCCTTTCATATTACTTTCACACAAATCAGCAATCCTGTCTTACATGCTAAATTTAAGATTATTACTGGGGAACGGCTAAATTACAGGAAAACAAATAAAAATGTGAGTTTATAACAGTGAGACAGACACATATAAACCACAAGTGACTCACGCTGAGCAAAGCCCTCACTTTTTCACCTTGTCCTTATTTCACAGTACACACGTTAGCGTTGTTTGGCTCTCTTTCACATTTTCTCTCACCTTGGGAGAGGTGATCTTGACGTAGACGATGATGGGGGCGAGGGACGTCTTTCCCAGCTGAGACGGGTGGTTGATGGTGTCGGCATCCAGAACCACCAGCTGTAACGTCCGGGCCAGTTCGAAAATACGCTCAATTTCACTCTGGACCTCAGCTGAAGGAAGAAAATTTAAATTCTTATTGCTTTCCAACTATGTAGCAATTGATTATTAATTGCACAAACAAATCAAGAACAACAGAGTTCATTTCAATATCACATCAGTTATTATTCTCATGTTTTAATTTTTGTATTTGCTGAACTTTGCACCACAAAAACAAATAAATAAAAAATACTGACATTGAGATTTTAGAGTCAGGACTTGCAGTGGAAACTAATAGCTCTGGGAGAAGCTGCAAGTCTAATTAAATTAGCTCTAACAAATACAAACTGTTACAACACACATCCCACTCTCTGACAGATGACTGCAGAATGGCTGCAAATACCACAGAGAAGAATCACAGAAAGACTTCAAAACTTCCAGTCACAACAAAGTCTGAAATAAGATAAGGACTGGAAATTGTTCCAACCAAACAGCTTGTGTCAGGTGTCATTTACACGATAATAAAAACAAGAGAAGTTAAAACAAATCACTAGCTTTCCTTGAATCATCATTACTTTTGATTTACAGCAACTGAGCTTCAAGCCAATGTCACATATTTTTAAGAACTGGACAGTTTATTTTAGACAAAACACAGGAATTTTTCTGGTACAACTGAGAGAAAATGACTTGGCATATGATGGCTATTTTTGTTAGTTAAATGTGGAACTTGAACATGTTGGTTTTTGCTCTGTGTCTCACTCTCGATGCATAATTAAACGAGAAGAAGTAAAAATAAACACACACACGAAAAAGGCTAAATCTGCATGACATAAAGTGGTAACTTTAATGATAGGATTAAAAAAAGTTTAGCTTCCGCTCCAAATTCTGCTGTGGCTGCTGACTGATGCTTTTGGTGATAAACGGCAGAGATTAGCTTCGTTACCTCCGTTTGACTCAGGAATCTGTTTCATTCTAATCACATCTAAACTCCAATCAACCCCAGTCAAATCAGAGCAGTTCTTAAACTTCTTTTCGTGTGTTTATGCTTAAATCTTTCACTCCGAACAAAAGAGACCAGCCAACGAGCCTTCAGGAGTTATTGTTACTGTTGTCAAGGGTTTCCCAAATTGTTTCCTTCCGTCTCTGGGCAAAATGGGTCTTTACGAAAACATTATTAATCAAAAAGAACAGATGTTTCCAGAAGAAACGTACCCAAGTTTGAGCGGGTGTTGGAGCGCTCGATGATGGCGTGCTTGCTGGGGTTGTTCAGGACCGAGCGTTTGGCGAGGGAGATGTCCGCCGTGACACGAGTGATGGATATTCTGAGAAAAGAGAAAATAGATTTGTTTGATCAAATGATACTGAATTTAAATAAAGTTATATAACATAATTAAAGATGGCATTTTTTTCTTGTTGCACAAACATGTTTTTTGTAACATTGTTGCAAGTAACAATAGAAAAATTATAGACAATAGAGAAATTATCTGTGCTTCCTTTAACCAGCACCACTCATATAAAATATTTAGACTGATTTAGATTGTTCTTGGTGTGGGTTTTTGATCTGTGGAGATACCTGATTGTACTTTGTAAAAAAAAAGAAATATTTCCTATTTGAAATTCCTTGATTTTCTTAGATAACTTGGTCATATCTGGACAGAAACATAAGTTGTTTGTTTAAATACGCACTCATAGGTGTAGGTTATGACCACTCAAAGCTCCAGTGAGTCATAAACCCTGTTTATTTTGTTACAACACAATCTACCAGGATAATGTGCATCATAATCCTACGACAAACAGAATAGATAAAAAGAGCAAAAAAAAAACTTTTTAAACGACTGTACAGTAGGTTTAAATGTTGTATGCATCTTTTTATACATGGTGGAAAAACCCACTGTGAGCTCATGTAAAATAAAATCAGTTTTCATGTTTCTTATCAGTACACCATTAGAGAAGGTCATTAAGTTTTCACTAAGTTGGACAAGCTTCTAAAAGCTGTTCTGTTGAAACTTTTTTTTGCATRACTGTTCTTGGTTTGGCCTCTAAAATAAACTGGTCAAAGCAACTCAACAGTTTTATCTGAATGAAATTAGTCAGCTATATATACATACTGTATAAATATACTGTATATA